AGCCCAGGAGGGAGGGAGGGTGGAGGGAGGAGCGGGGGAGGGGCTGGGGCGGGGCCCAGCGGCCAGGGAGGCGGGGTCTCTCCCAGCTCCGCTCCGGGCGAGTCACTCACGCTCCCCCCCAAGCCGCTCTGAGCCCCGGACGCCACTCGCGAAAGGATTTACCTCCCTGGCTTGTGGGGACTTTTTAATTTGCTTACAGGTCTCCTGCTAAGTCAGCTTGAATAAGTCTGAAAAGGACACGAGCCCTGAGACGAATTTCCCTGAGGCATTTTGTTTCCCACCTTCATGTGGGATTGATTGGCCTGTTCACTCGCTCACCAGTTTCCACAAATCACGCTACTGTTTGTGTAAACATTTCAAATCCATTGATCTGTCTGACTTCCGAGGCTTCGCAGAAATATCTCTTCACGGTTTAGTCAAATACATATTGACGAAAGATTATTTCGTTTTTTACTCTGGGAAAACGCAGTCAGAACAATAACTATACGTGCATTTGTTTTATATAAATACGTATATAGACAGAAAAACAGAGACACAGAGAGAGGAGGGTGAGACCCTGCTTCTGAGGACAGGTGTGAAGACCCCCGACCTCGGGGCCTGCAGGGGTGGGCTCCAGATGTGGCCAGGCCCACCCCTGCCCCAGAGAACATTCTAGAAGATCCTTCCCAGCGCTGGAGCTCTTACCACTTGTCTAACATCAGCCAAAACGTTTTATAGTTTAAAGACGTGCCAAAGTCGTATAACCACAGTAAAGGAGTTTTGAGAAACCCTTCGGGAATTATACCTCTCGGTGATTGCTGTGGGATTTCTTCCAGTGTTCTCCCCGTACGTACGTTCTGAATCTTCTGTGAGCTAACCGTGGGGGTACTTTTACTTGCCACTGGTCTCACCCAGGCCGTGCTGTGGGCACTTCTCTCTGTGCTTTGGGGTTGGGTGCAGGGCACCCAGCTTCCGGGTCAGACAAGGGGGCTTGGCCCCTCGCGCAAGGCTGTTACCTGCTCACGTGGTCTCTCCAGGTCTGAGCTGTTTTAGCTGCAGAGGCGGCAGCACTAATGTTCTCGCAGGTTTTGGAGATGAAATCGGAATTTGTGGTGTGAAACCCTGAGCCGTGACTCCCCACAGCAGGGGCCCAGCTGCCGAGTGGTTCTGGACTCACCTTGTCTGTGAAATGGGGAGAAACAGGGACAGTCGTGCTTGGGCCTCTGGCCAATTGTGGGACGGGAGGGTCCATTCGCGGACACTGCTGGCCAGTGAGGACGCGGGTGTGAGGGGGGGCACAGGGACACCCACACTTCCCAGCCGGCAGCGCCGGGCGAGATGGTCCCGAGGGGTGGGCCGGCCTTGGCAGGGTCAACAGCCCCACAGCCCCCAGGCCCAGGCCAGGCCCCAGACCCACCCCTGCAGGGCTCCCGGGAGCCGGGCAGACAGCACAGCTGCCCTCCGGGGCCGTCGGCCAGGGTGCAAGGGAGGAAGTCAGGGTGCCTGGCTCTGCAGCACCCCCTCTGCTTGCAGAGAACAGGCAGGATGGGCAGCCAGGGGCCCCTTTCTCTTCCTCTCCCTCCCACCGTGGGCCTTGCTGGCCCCTCCCCGGGGGCGGGGCGTCACTCATCCCATGTCCCAGATCGGCCTTCCGGGGGAGCGAGCC